ACATAGTCCCGCACTAGACAACACAAATTACACCCAAACTCACGAGAGAAAGTAGTAGTAGTAGGCCATACAAATATTTCTCCCGGTCCGGGAATCGAACCTGGGACCTCTGCGTGCAGTCGAGTATGGTAATCGTTCGGCCACGGAGGCAGTTTCGAGCAACTGGACTGAAAAAAAAGCCATTCGGTTTTCACTTTTTTGATTATAAAACCTTAGCACTCTAGTTGCAAATATTTTTATTATGTTAGGCACGAAAGTTCTTTCATAAACGTAAATTAAACAATACCCAGCTAATACTCAAGTTTTAATTATTTTTATCTTGTAGTAACACACTTTATATGCTAATGGAAGTGTCAAGATGCATGACAATTATAACAAAAACTTTGTTATTATTCTTATCTTCACTTTGCAACAAAAACACACAATAAAGTACAAAATTCTAGACTATTCAATCTGTTTATTTTTCGCCTTTAATCTTTCTGTTGTTTGGTTTTTAGATTCAACTTTTGAATTGCATTTTATTTATTGACATTAAATGAAGTTGTAGATGGAAAACCAATTACATCTTTCACTATTAAAAGTGTACAACTGTGTGCCTTAACCAGGAGTGTACTGACTTAAAATTGCTAGTAAACAGTGTAAAATATTTATACTGATGAACAATGTGCTACATGTACAAATGTACTACAAAACTACGTTTTATGATTACGTACTATAAGGCCTTATTACTACTAGCTGTTCTCTAGTTACTGTGCAAATAATTCCACTTTATATCTTTATACTTCTTACCTGTCAGGAGAGCTGTCAAATGCCATACCAGAATTTAGGAGTTTCGCAAATAGGAGTCAGTCACGGGTTCAAGTTCTCGCGTTCATTTCTTTCTACTAAATCCCATGCGGTCGGAACGTTTTTTGTATGATTCATGGATTCAAACACGATATATTACAGTAATGTTCCCCTTTACATAATGAATACGTTCTAGAGAAAATGACGTTAAGCGAAATTCGCATATATTTGTGTGTCGCGTATAAGTGTTTGGTAAGTATTTTTATGGAAAATTATTTTTCACAAGCTTTTGGTCGTAATTTTGTCTTTATTTCTCTTTCTTCAAGCTAGGCTGTACGAACTACGTACCCCCGACATTGACAAAGGACGCGATGCATGAAGGACGTTTCCCATTGATTGAACGTGTGGAATCACGAATCATTTTCGTGAATAAATCCCGTAAAGCGGGGCATTTTAGCGCACAAATTGAAAATCGCTTTATAACGAATCCGCGCATCGCTGTATATTATTACTCCATGAGCACACACACATGAAGCTGTAAATAACATTAACGCTAAATATCGTAGCACTACGCCAAAGTTGTTGAGCTACAGCGTAGCAAATCTCGTTATTGCTCGTATGCTACGTTCGCCTCAAGTCATAAAATTAGAAGAAGCGTACTTAGTTTATTTTGAGATACATTTTATAAGAACTTCATAAGTACATATCGCTGTTTATGTATAATGGACCAAACTTTACTACTTTTTTTTTGTATTATACAGCTTTATTAATGATGTGCTATTTTATTGGGAATACAACACCGAGCATTCCCTTGGTTAATTACGTGGTTACATTGAACCGATATACAAGTTCTCGACTTTTTTTGCGCAGAGTTAGGTGTTGAATCAGGCCGCTATTATAGAAATCCATCGACATTTTCTTGCGTGTAACTAGATACAAAGTTCTGGCTTATCTGTCTTTCGAGAATGGAATATTGAATAAGACTTTAGGAAGTGACTAAAATAACAGTCTAGCGATACACACCGCAGAGCACCATCTTTCTCGATCTTTTTAGAACTTTCTCGATCGATCCATTTGTCCAAATAATCCACTTTCCCAATTGATCCACTTGTCCCAATGGTTTACTTTCCCGACTGGTCAACATGTCGAAATGGGCCACTTTTGACATCGGTGACGGAACTTCAGCAACATTACGCTCACAATACTATATTTCGTTTGAGTTTTTCAAAAAATTTCAACCTCTTCGACATACGTTGCTACAAAAGTTTTGAATTATTTATTAAATATACAGATGATATGAAAAACAGTGATGTTGTATTATAATTATTTTTTTAATTTCCGAAGTCGAAGAAAAGATAATAAGCCCTCATACGAAGACACAAATACATTTACCTTGACTTTCTAAAACATCATCAATATTGCAATGCAACAGCTGGTGCCGGCTTTTGAAATGCTTTTAGCAAAAGTACATGTTGCGGTCCGTGAACAGTGTAACTTTTTTCGTCGTGAACGTAATTTTATTTTCAACGCCGTACGTTACATTGATCACGTGTGGAGGAAATACAAAAAAATGAGGACGATCTGAACACATATTTCTGCCCGACTGGGCAAGAAATTGCGAAGAAAGCAGTGCAATGGTATAGAGCAATGCGTAATTTGGCTGTGACATAGTTATTTATACGCACTGTCTCCCAGCAAATAATTTCCTTAGTTCTTTTTCTCGTCTCTATAATTGGCAATTGTAATTTTCGTCGACAGTCTTTATTGAACGAGCTATTAAATTTTAGTTTATGTCTATTAAACAGCTCATAAGAAATAAGCAATACTACGCGTATTATCGTAAAAATGTAATTAACACACGTCAGATACAAAATCACCTTTCTCTTTCACAAGTAAGCTCCCATATGCTCGCACTCGCACTCGCGTGCACGCACGCACGCACGCACGCACGCACGCACGCACGCACGGTTATTCGTACTTTCTTTGCGTCTCACGGCACAGGCGTAGCCTAGTATGGGGTCAAAGTTCAAATATATAAAATTGGTACTCCTAAGTTATGGTAAATAAATATCCGTTCACCTAAGTTTATGTACTTGGAAAATAATTCTCCAAAAATTCAGTGTTCTAACATAGTAGAATAAAACGTTCTAATGCGTAATCAATTTTCAGATTAGCATCGACGCAAATTAAATCCGTTCTGCAAACACTACTACACGAAAGCTTATACTGATAAACCATTTTTGTAGCCCAATTAGCCTACAAAAAATACATCTTAGAGTAAGAAACAATTATTCTCGATGAAACAGGCGCAATACAGGATGCATTAGGGTAATGTCTCGCTTAAGGGTAAACTCGTAAAGTTACTAGGGTACACCGTCATTGTTGACCCACTGATTACATAACGCCTCGCGTATCGATTCTGCCACATGGCACCGTGCCAATAACAGAGTACGCCACCCTGCCCTGTGTTTTAGACCACAACTTTCGATAAAACTTTGAACACTTTTTTGCGCTCAAACTGTATTACTACGTGTTACGCCACCAACGTTGCTTCACCAACATTTCTTATTTTAATTTTCAGTGATTTATGTTAGGTAATTTAATATGCCACACGTTGAAACCAATGCCGTCACTAAGCTAAAAACTAAAGTTCTAGAGTAGAAATAATAATTCAGAAAGTAAGTTTAAATTTCAAAATTAGATTTTCGTTTAATGGCGGTATTGGTTAAAGTGTGCGATGCATAAAATAATTACTACTATAACCCCTTTCAAAGTACTCCTGCATTATAGCAGTTGTACTATCGTACTACTATCGTACTCGTAGTACTTATCAGCAAACTCGACTCGTCCCACCCAGTGTTGCCAGGTCAAATCTGAAAAAGTCCGAAGATATCACACAAAAAAAAACAGTAGATTGAGGAAAAGAACAGTAGATACTGAACTTACCTTAAATCGAGTTTTAAAAAGTTTTAGTTTGTAAACATTGATTGGTAATTTCCATTTTTACATTACTGCCCAAAGAAAAAAGCGCGTAATTTTAACGATGTAATTTTACAATTGATAATTGAAAATAAAATTGCATTTTTCATTACTCCTGTCGGGAATCTCAACGTTGCGTTGGACAGCGGCATTCCAATACAATTGCTAACCATCTATTATCAATTATCAATGTTTTGGGTTAGGGATTGTATGGCGGGTGTAATAATAATATTCAACTCTAAAGTACTGTCATAAGCCAAAACATCCCTTCAAACTCTTATAATCCTTATTTTTAATTGCAGATTGATCATTTTTTATTTTAATTTCCGTACATAATATGATGATGATGATGTTTTATTATCTGAAAAAGAGCATCCTTAAAACGAATAAAAATTAATAAAAGTAAAATTTTCCCAGCATTACTAGTGTGTAAAAAAACTAGTCCACAATCAAATAAACAAAATTATTAAAAAATATTGAAATTAAAAAAAGTGTTTTAGATTTATAGTAAAAGTAAGAAACACAAACTTAACTCATGCACAACGTTCGAGGTACAACATTAAATTATTACTTTTGGACAGAATTCTGTTTTAAGGCATGATTATAATATAACGGAACAAAAAAACGAACGAAAATTACGGACGGAACAAAAACAGTCTGCCAAAAACAGTAGATCTACTGTTAAAACAGTAGACCTGGCAAAACTGGTCCCGCTTTAAGGGTTTTTTTTCCGTGCAGTCAAATCTTGTCAGTAACGATCACCCGCAGCTTGCTAGTTCTTGTCAACCAATGGCGTTTAAGGCCTAGACAATTTCTTTTCGTTGTGATATTCGAAATAATTAATTTCATTCTTTAAAATGATATAAATAAATGATTTTCACAAAAAAAAGTTAATTAATTTAAGCGAAATAAGAGGCGGAGCTTGCAAATAAAAATGTTTTGGAACTAAGACTGCATCGAGTTTGCTGTAGTAATTTACGATCGTGTTTTTTTGTCTTCAGAAAATGGCAATAATACACTCGTGTTTGTAAAGGTAACGTTATAGTTGCAACATTTTATTACATTAGATAGTCAGACCCGGTTAGATAACGTAAGATCTGGTAGGGCATCAATCAAGTACCCTCATCTAAGAGGAAACGTATGCCTAAACACGTGACGTATATATTCAGATTGATACAATACAATGGTTGAATAAACAAACGATTTACATCTAACAGCTGTTTCCGTCTTTTCAGATATAGCATTTGGATCGGTAAACTGACAACACAAATATGGCATTCGCTGGACTCAAGAAACAAATCAATAAAGCCAACCAGGTGAGTAAAGCAAATGGTAGTAAAGTTTCGAAAAATAAAAAGAGCATTAGAACATAATTTGACATGTATTAAAGTAACGATTAGTAGCAAAGTCGTATAGCGCTATACCATTATAGAATTTATCGTTTATTCTTAGCGAATCTTGATGCTTATTTCATAGCATTTCTTAAAAGCAAAGATGGCAAAAATAAATTGTACTGACAGACGACCGCCCTCTACTTCTCTTATCGCACTTCACGTCTTCAAAGTTTCCACAAAAGGGAAATATAATCCGTTTACTTATTATTTATAGAAACTACAAAAGATTCTTAAAAATATTCGCAAAATATTAGTCAAATAACGGTTTTCCTTGTGTAGGGTGTTCTTTAAATAGGGACACATTTATTGAATTCTATTGAAATTAGCCCCCGTCGTTTTTCACGACATCATTGACCTTGACGTTTTTCAATTTGTTTGTTGGTTTTTTACTGGACAATTGGTGTAGAAAAAAGCCAACAATAAAATTTTATTGGCATTGGTTATTCTAAATTAAATATATTCCGTTTTTAAAATGACAACACAGCGCCAAATAAATTATTTTTCAATTAACTTAACGGATACTTTTCAAAGTCCGTTAAAGTTAACGGCTCTATCGTTCATGACGTTGGCCAGTCCGCTTTGAATTTAATATATGTTATAACCGTTATCAAGGTTTTGTTTCCCCTGGAATGTTCGACTCCTTTCTCTGAATTAAAAAAGTGAATACCTTACAAATTATAAGTGGTTTAGGTTATTTTATTAACATCTGTGTTCTGCAATTAATGATTAAATTCAGACCATGATCCACCTCAAATCGTGCCCTGCGTGCCTTAACACTTATACGTTTTAATGGCGGCTAATAGTGACGCGGTCTGCGTAGCTAATTTCTGGGCCGCAATAATATAGTGTATGCCATCAATACGATAATAATGAGGTGGCGCATTAGATAAATCTAATACTCAGTATTTATTTGTCCTTATTTGAAATACATTGCAATTTACAGCCCTACTAAGATCGCTGCAAATGGCAAAACGGAGCAATTTAAGGCGAACTTTCCTTTTTAGTCATGTCTATATTCAACAGTAGATGTACATACAAATCATAATTCTTTTCAACGTAAAGGATCATTAATAACAGCTTTTATAACCTGATTTTCGGCACGTAATGTTTGATAACACTCTTTATCTATTTCTTCGGTGCCTTGTTCGTCATCCGTTCGTAGTTTGATATAACTCCCGTTGATTGATGGCCTGGCAATGGCGCATCCCTATTGCCTCCCCAAGATTCCGCCTCTTTGGAGTAGCCTGTAGAATAATATTTCAACAACATCCGACTCAATTTAGAGCAGCTTGGGTTACAGACCAATATATTTCTCTATTTTCGGCTTAAATTAAAATGATGCTTTGGAGCTTATTAACTTCAAAAATTCAACCTTATTAATATTTTAATGGTAGGTAATAGTTAATTGTAACATTTTTAATGTTATATGGCTTTGAATAGTTTTTATTTCATTTGTCCTTTCCTTTGTATTTTTATCAAATGGAAGACCCATGTCGTCAAGACTTGCAAGACTGATATGTGGATCGCCATTATTTTTAATCTAGTTTCGTTTCAAGTTGTAACGCAATAAGTTACTTTTTCCAAATAAAAAGGCAATCATATATTGTATTCTAGACATAATATTTGGAATAATCAAACTTTTAGGTACGTACTGATATAATTTTTTTGTCGTTTTTATGTCGTTCATTACGGAAATTTTATAATGAGCACGCGTTTTGAAACTGAATTAGTGGGACACGTCTTATTTCCTTTACGGCTATGGAGTGGTATTCCTTGCCTGTAGATACATTCCCTATAATTTGGACCTTTTCAAGCCGAGAGTGAATAGGCATTATTTAAGTGTACATGCTCCATCGTCGACCTCATCGTTACTTTCCATCGTGTGAGTTAGAGGTTGAACGCGCATTTGTTCACCATAAAAAAGTTCTAAAGTGAAGCATTTGTGAATACTATACATTCCCGATACAGTTTTCAAACGAATGATAAATTGTGTGTGAATAACACCAAGTTTTGTCCCCTGTCGCAAAACAACTGACGACCTTGACATAATTTTCTCATAAAAACTGAAAGCGGAAGTTTGGAAATTTTATATTTTAATTGGAAAAATATCTCAAAACACGGCAAGGATGCCGAGAAGCCTTATTTAAGCCTTATCGTTTGAGATAAATTCTTTTCTCGCGTACCTTGGGCCTTGACGGCCTCTTGGCTTATCGGAGATCGTTTGTTTCTCCGACCTTCTCTGATTCCTTTTATTCGCTTTTGTCCAACGTTAGTTATAGTCTGTTTTACTAGCTTTAGAGAAAGGAGGTTTGGTTTTGTCTTTTCCATTATTCTTTCGTTTCTATAATAACCATCTTACAGTCGAGACTATAGTAATAATAAGAGGACAGTAGAAGAAGTTTTTCTTGTTGTTATTCGTTTTCAATGCATCGCTGTTTTACCGTATCAGTCTCTTGCAACAATTCAACGAGGTTTTCATCAAGCTCCCTTGTCAGTTTTACCTGCTACATTTTTAAGATTGTTCTTTTTCTTAATTTAATCTCTACAACTAGTTATAAAATGTTAATATTAAACTTTGAAACATTGCAACCAAATTGAGTAAAGCTTTTACATAAAACAAACATAAAGTAGAGTTGTGTGTGTTTTATGACTGAAGTTGCTAATTTTCGAAGCGAGTGTGGCTGTCTGCCAACGACTGGAAAATGAAATTTACAACTCAGTTTACAAGTGTTTTCTTGCTTTTTGTCTAGGCAGTAAATATGCATTACAACAGAGTACATCAATTAGGGAGTAAAACTAAGACATTCCCGATGGAGGAAATTGGTATCCGATAAGAGCAGTAGATCTAAGCAAAATTTACAGGAATCGCATTGACTTACAATTATATGGACGTCGGGTCCGCGCTAAAAAGTGTCCGCACTTGCAAGGCGCTAAAATCGTATACAGAGCGCGACACTCCGCTTTAGTCTTCATTTGTTCTACCGACAGCGCGATACTGCGATGACATTACAATTTAAATTTCGAATAGGTTGACTTGGGACATTTTTTTCGTGGTTTTTGTATTAGACCCGTCGTCCATTTATTTGTAAGTCAATGAGGAATCGTAAAAAACGCTAATATGCCAATTTTATTGCAAACCTTAATTTTGTCTACTTCATAACGAACATTTTTTTACCCACGGCTCTGTGAAGCTTTAAATGGATGGAAATAAAATACTTTTACAAATTTACAACAAAAGGTTTCCCTTTAACGTCAAAAAACCCCTTAAATTTTGGCGCTCACTTCATAATAAACACCTTTTATATACATTAAATTTATGTTACATAATATGTGTCGATCCTTAGAATAATAACGCATAGAAACCTAGTCCGCACACGCTAAGTGAGGCAAATTGAAGCGCGCCCAATGGGCCTACACGAGCGGGCGGGCCTTCAGTGCTCAAGGTCAACTTGCACCGCGAACAGTTCAAGAATTTTAGCTAAAAATGTCGATTATCGAAATGTGCGGTAAATGAGTGTAAAAATACGTCAGACAAACATAAAATAGATACTAACATCACATTCCACAAGGAAGTAACGCGTTTCAACTTGTATTTTTATATAAATATTCACTAAAACCGAAAATTAACCTACTACTAAAACTAGCCTACATGAATTTGATTTTTGCCTCACTTGTGACAGTTCGTTTGATATAAAACTATCATTCTATGCGTTATTATTCTAAGTGTCGATCATTATAAAAGTGGTGTAAGTCTATATTTTAAAACACATATTTTTTTGCTTAAAATATTTAGTCATATCTTTCATTATAAAAGTGAAACAACTCCAATAATTGCATTAACATCTCATAGATGGCATTACTAGTTTACTCAGAGCACTAAAATTACTACACGTTAATTTGCTAAAAGCTCACTATTTAAAAATTTAATTACAAGTACATAATTCACTTTTAAAATTAACGACATGTATATAAAATACATACCAATGTATAAAGGGGTAAAGAGTGCCAGACATTGCCAGTTACTTTTACAAAAAACGGGTAAACTTCTTTTTGTAAAAAAATTATATACATATACAACTGTATAACTAAAATGGTGACGCATCCAGAATTTCCGATGCATCTCGTTCGAAGGTAAGGGGGAGGTGTGAGGGGAGCCGGGGGTGCGGCCGTGACCCCTCGTCCTACATTTTGACGTGCCCCAATTATCACTGCCTGTTTCCCAGTGTCCTGCGACATTGGAATGTTGGATATACATTTTAAAATGTTCTCTGAAACGAGAGGCCAATTAATCGTTTTTATGGTGCGATAAATATTTTTTTATTACATTTTATTTAGGTCGTATTCTAATAGCAGCTTTTTCTCGTATCATATTGCGGCTTTACTAAGATCGCCAAATCAATGGTGACCTTAGTGATTGCATTAAAAAAATGTAAATTCATTTCATTCCACAATTGTCTATGGTAATCTGATACGGTTAAAATAATTACTGAACACTTCAAGCTAAAAATATGATAATAAACGTTAGCTTAATGTTTTTAAGGTGCATTTTATAATAAAACTCTAATATGGGCTTTTATTGCTTCGGCGCGGACTGCCTTCTTGGCAGTTGATAGTAACCGGGTAAGTCCATTTTCAAATTTATGTTCAAATAAAGTTGGTCAAACTTTTGTTTTTAACGCATTTTGTAAAGGTGATGTTACTTACATGGAATATGTTCTTTGGTAATTTAAAAATAAAATGGTTAAATTAATATTTTTTGTTACTATTGTTCAGAATATGGTGGCTAATATTAGATATAACTGGTTGATTGCTAATATTAAACGTTGTTACTTTTGAAAAAAAAAACAAATGTACGTGAAAAAAATTCATTTCGTTCCCAATATACTTATATTGTTACTGCTTTTTTATGAGACTAATTGCAA